TTATTGTTCCCAGCATTAGGCTCTTCTCCAGGGAGTCCTTCCTTCTCATTAGGTGGCCAAAGTATTTGAGTTCCATCTTCAGCATCTGGCCTTCTAAAGAGCAGTCAGGGTTGATCTCCTCTAGGACTGACGGGTTTGATTGCCTTGTGGTCCAAGGGACTCGCAGAGTCTCCTCCAGCACCACAATTCAAAGGCCTCAATCCTTTGGTGCTCAGCCTTCAGGAGAGGGCTGGTGCACGCATCTGGTCCTCATGTGAGGAGGTTGAATGTCTGCTTAGGGCTTAATGCTCACTCCAGATGAACTGATCTGTAATAGGGGTGCACCTTCGTTTTATACTAACCACTTGCATGCATTTGATCCTTCAAGAAGTCATTATTTTGAGAATAATAGGTGTTGATACAGGCTGTCTAGTTCCACATTAAGTAATCCTGAACCTGCATCATTAGATAATAGGATAATTATCCTTTGCAAAAGCCAGTTCATTGTCTTGGTCTGGGGATTTTGTTGTTAGTTGCAAAGTTGTGTCCGACCCTTCGTGACCCCATGGACCACACTTCTCCAGGCCTTCCTGCCCTCCACCATCCCCCAGAGTCCACTCAAGCTCAGACCAGCTGCTTCAGTGACTCCATCCAGCCACCTCCTCCTCTGCCGTCACCTCCTCCTTTTGCCATCAATCGTTCCCAGCATCAGGCTCTTCTCCAGGGAGTCCTTCCTTCTCATTAGGAGGCCAAAGTCTTTGTGTTCCACCTTCAGTAGCTGTTGGGGGCTTTCTTCCTTTAAAATAGCCCCTCGTTGCTGCCACCACTGTGCTGCTGCATGTTGTCAGCAAGCATCATATTTGCACTTTTAGAGGGGTCCACCCACTTGCCCACCCCATTTAAGGGCTGCATCACAAGGTTTGGGCCACTTGGGGCGACCAGTCAGGAGCTGGGGAAAGGAAAGGGCCAGTACTCCTGCTTGCATCCATGGGGTGTGCAAGGACACCTCCAATGCAGGTACACATTGTTCCTTTCTGCACGCTAAGAGGGGATGCCAAGAACAAAGAGTGTTGTGGGATAAGGTTAGAAGCAGGCCAACAACTAGTGCTCCACTGCTTATCTGTGGAGCTTCCCTGGAGATCTTGGAGGGGCACGGCTGCCTTGTGGGAAGCTGGTGGCAGGACACAACCCCCACCCACACCTAGTGGAGCAGAGCGGGTGGTGCCCAATTCGGCTCATGCCGAACTGCATCGACTGGACTCTGGGCAGACACTGTGGCTCCTTGCCGTCTCTTCCTGCTAAAGCCCCGCTGGCTTGTCTTCAGCAGGCATCACAAGAAGACCCCAGTCTTTGCTGCAATGCACAGGTGGTGGGAGGAGAAGGGTAAGATTAGGTTCCCAACAGTTACTTACATTGATGAATGACCCTAATTGGATAAAATAGACTGGTTCTGCTGAGCTAATACCTTTGAATATCTTGTCTGAGACAATTAATATTCCCCTGTCATGCATTCGTTCAAGCTATTAGAAGAACGCCTTATGTTCACACTCCTGTCACATTTAACAAATTATTTTGTTGAGCCATTCTTTATAGGCTATTGTTGATGGATTGCTAAATTTTTGGTATCCTGTTGCATATGTAAAAGCTGTTAACTATACCTTTCAACATGCATGCAAGGGCATTCAAAAAAGTCAATTCACAATGAGATTGTGAAGCTTATTTGCATGAGAGTTTGAAATTCAATTCTTTTCCTGATGGAAATGGAGTTAATATGGCATTTTTAGCCAGAAACAGCCCTGAAAATCCTAGTATTGCCCCGAATGCTGGGAGTTGTAGGTTTTTTCTCCCTCTAAATATGCGTAGGATTGCACCCAAAATATTACTTAATGGTTGTGATAAAATCTTCCCCTCTTTCTCTCTTGAAACTCTACATTAAAGTCAAGCTTCGCTCAGTTTTATAATGCAACCAGTAAGGGGACTGCAACCTGAAATAACTCATGCTTGCAAGACCGGTTGTTCCCTGATCATGTACGAATCGCAGTGTGGCATGTTTGCTTAAGGTTTGGAAATGCAATTGTTAAATTGATATTAAAAATGAAAAGCAGAGCACTCAAAGCCAACGGCCTTGGAGACGGGTAGCCTGCGGGCATGACAATTAAGGTAGGACAAGAAATTAAGTCCCGTCTCTTTTCGCTTGGCTGGAAGTCAATTAAGGTAATGGCTTGTACTTCACCACAGAAAGCTTAGATGGGAAGGGTACATAAAATTCAGTGGCAATTATTGTGGTGTTAACCACAACATTTGCCTTGCCCGATCGGCTAGAGTTTGGTGTGACTCCGTAAAAGGAAAATCCTGAGTGATTATCTTTCCTTTTAAACTACTTGACTTTACATTGAAAGTCTTTCTGGCCAGGTCTGATCCTCCCTTATTCTCTCTCTCGCTTTCCACTTCGGACAAGCTAATCTGCTTCCTTGCTCCTTTTCTTCCTTTTCCCAGCGCCACTGAGAAATAGGCACGGAAGGTCACAAAGCGGATAATCTACCTCCATTAGCTAATATCCACCCATTCTTGCACTCTGTCTCTTCCTTCTCTCTCACTGGGCAAGCTTAAAGGAGACACCCTGGGGATGCAGCACATTTTCTGCTTGCATCAATAACAGATCGTATGCACTGGTGGTTCTGGATAGCAACCATAACCGCTATTGTCCGGGCAGCCCCCTTGCCCCAAGTCCAGGTGTCCGATGCTCAGTGACGATCAAAGGGGTGGTATCTCTGTGGAAGAGGATTACAGTCTTTTTCTCTACAGGTAGCAAATTTTACTGCAGCCCCTTGCTCATCTCTATATGGCAACAACATGCCTGATATTTCCTTTGATAGCCAGGCGAAAGTCTGCAGCAAAAGAGATGGGCATTCGCTATTTGTCATGTGTTAAGTGTTTAATTTCTTTTATCTGGACGCTCGATGCATTCCATTGTCTTGCTAACTACCCTGAACATTTGGGAGCTGGGCAGGTAAATCATAATTTATTCAATGAATGAATTTTTAAGGAGATTTTTCAGGCTAAGGAAATCTTTCTCCCTGCATCATGTCCATCCAGACAAGTATTCAGATCCTTAGAATATTTTAATGGTCCTGTGCGTTCTTAAGCAGAATATTAACAATGGGATAAAATCCAGGTCATCTACAAACCTGGCATTGCCATCTATAATGGCAGTGGCTAGTCACCATGTACAGATAAATGCCCAGCCGCTCACTGCTCCCCGCTTTCTCTTTTCACAGCTCCGGAAAGCAGTGATGGATCATATATCTGACTCTTTCCTCGAGACCAATGTTCCGCTACTGGTTCTCATCGAAGCAGCCAAGAGCGGTAATGAGAAAGAAGTGAAGGAGTATGCGCAGGTTTTCCGTGAACATGCCAACAAGTTAGTGGAGGTAAGTCAGGCTGCTGGCTGGGGTCAGGCATCTTGCCTTGGTGGGGTGTGATGGAAGAGAATACAGCTCTGTAATCAAAGCCGTTTAGGTGACAATCATATACAAACCTACCTACAAGCACCTACCTACCTATGTGTAAGTGTACTTCTGTTTTAATCCCAGGGACCTCTTCTAGCCAAGATACCTCAATTCAGATTCAAGGACACTAAGGAAGAAACAAAACTACTTGTGTTAAAGATAGTGTAAAGTTTATTTGTTTTTATTTACTAGATGTATATCCTGGGTTTTTTTCTTTGAGTTCTTATATAAGAACTCAAAGTGGCTTATATCATCCTCTTCCTGATGCTGTCAGTCCTATCCCCTGAACAACAGCCCTGTGAGGTAGGTTGGGTGAGGGTCTGTGACTGGCCTAAAATCACCCAGTTGGCTCTATGGTTGAGTGTGGACTCGAACCCGGATCTCTTGAGTCCCAGCCTCATGCTCTTAACCACCACACCACCCTGGTTCTTCAGCATGCATAACATGATGAAATATGGGTGCAAAATATAAAGAAGCATACAGAGATTACCTTCCCTTTCTTTGGGGTTATACTGGTTCCCCGAATAGTCCAGGGGATGTTCCATGGATATCCAAAGTTACTTGGGAATTAAATGAACCAGGAAAGACCAATTCCTTTTCCCAAGCCAAGGGCAAAACACATAGAAACATAGACATAGAAGCAGAGCGAGTCAGAAGGGGTCTCCCGGGCCATCTAGTCTGACCCCTGGCTCCAGCCAGCTCTGCTCATGGCATGCTTACCATGTGCATGTCCAGCCTGTTCTTGAACACCCTCACCATTGGGGCTTTGACCACGTCCTATGGAAGCCCATCAAATACCCAAGACAATGTCTCTTGTCATTGCACAGGGCTTCTCACTCTCCTTCCTAGGAGAAGGTGGGGAGCAAAGCTGCTTCAGGCAAGTGAACAGTTTCAGTTCTCCCTGTCGAAAAAGCCTCTTGTCTAAGGAATGTACCTGGGAAAGGAAGCACCAAGGCAGTTCTCTAACTAGCTGAAAACCATAAGCCCTTGGTGTGGGTTCAAGAAATGATTCCAGCTTTTGGCTGTGGGAAAGTTCACTACAGTACCTGGGGGACCTCCTTGCCATTCTTCCAGTACAGCCCCTTCAATGGAATCTGTTGAAGATTGCAGCCTCAAGCACCCCGAGGATTCCAAAATACGGGCAATGCTTTGATAATTCTGGCTGCAAATTTGTAAGTTTTCAACAAACCAGTTTCCATCCCCATCCCAAAGTCATTGTGGAACAACAAAAGCATCCCCAGAAAGGCCTGCTTCTGTTTTGTTTGGCTTTTTGTCTCTCAGCTTGCTGCCATGACTTTTTCGGTGAAATCGGTCTCACTGTTACCATCATCTCAGCATCCTTGCACCGTGCAGCTTCCACGTGAGCTTCTCAGGTTACTGAGCTCAGCTTCAACCCATCCTGTGCGCCTCTCCATGCAGGGTCACAAGTGGCTCGTATGTGAGCGATGTACCGGGAGTGAGGTCAGGGAGAGCAACCAGGCCTTCAGGGGGAAGGTGCTTCAAGCCCACCGATGTGTCTCTGGAGCAAGGTTCACGGGATATGCAGAGAAGGGTCAATGAAAGCCACCTCCTAGGGAGGGACATGGACAGCTCCTTCTGCTTGCCATCCCCAGCTACAGGCAAAAGAAAGGCTTTTGATAGGTCCTGCTCATGGTGGACTTCATCGGGCTCTGCCCCTTGGGTGCATGAAGTGGCCTTCTTCTAAATCAGGCCATTGAGTTGTTTCACCCCAGTTATCCCTGCCCCCTACTGGATATGATGTTCCAGGGATGCCAGGGAGAAGTCTGGGGCTTCCGCAGGCGAAGCATGAGCCCTAGAGGTGAGCCACCTTCCCTTTTCTCATCTGCTCGGGCAGGCACTGCATATTTTGACATCGGACATTGGCCATGCCAGTAGCAATAGGAAACGTTCACTTCAGCCCACGGATTCCCTGGAGGCTGCAGTTGCATCGCTTCCAATCCTTTTTTCTGCGCAGTGTTAAAAAATGAAAAATCCAGTGCTCTGTATATGTGTGTGAGGGAGAGAAAGAGAAAGGATAAAAAAGAGAGATCTTGACTTTTCGATTTAAGACTCAGGCCAGTATTCATCTCGAGTCTGCTTAGTCCAATTCATCTCTGGGGGGCAGAGGCAGGAAGGTGGGCTGTTCTTGTAGGTCTCTAGCTCCCATCAACCCCCGCCAGCATAGCCAGTGGTGGGAGCTCAGGGGAGCTCTGCTCCAGAAGCATCCCGAGAACCACCAGTTCCCTCTCCCTGCTGTAGTGTCTTGAATCTCACGTCAAGATTAAGCTGCATCCAACTGAAGGAGGGCCTAGCCTACATTTCCTCTGCCTTGTCAGTTCTGTCTCTGGCATCCACAAGTCGATTTCATTTCAAACCCTGCCAGCTGAAGAGTGCAACGGGTGGCAGTCTGTACCAGGCCTGGCGCCAGAGAGATGTTCTAGTGCACTGTGGCTGACACAAATGGATCGGAGAGCGCACGGGGTAATTATTAGACTGTCTCTCCAAAATGGTTGATGCAGTATTAAAAAGAGGATGGGGGTGGCAATAGAGTGAGCAGTGACTCTTCACTGGCAGGTTTGGCCCTTATATACCTAAATTTATTTGTTGATTATTTTCCACAAGTAATAAATGGAAATGCAGTGGTCTTCTCTGCAGGTTGAGGAGTTTCTGTTCATTGGAGATGAAGGTCTTTCAGGGTCTCAAGGGAAGGTACTATGACTACAGTCTGATGAGTGGAATGCACTAGCCAGAATCCCCAGTTTGATGGACTTCCATGGTCATTGACAGCACCTGGGGGAGCAGGTACACTGTGACCTGGGAACTCCCTGCACTGGGATTGGGTGAACAAAACCCCTGCATTGGAGCCCTGTGAATGGTTAGAGGGCTTGACTAACCCAAATCCTGGCTAGCTGGTAAGGCAAGCCAATGCCTTGGGACTTGCTTGCAAGAGTCACCCGAGCATCAGTGGTCACAAGATCTGATGTCCACACACACCTGAGATGGGGAAAGCATCTGTGAGCAGGACATTTGGATATTTCCCAGATTCACCATTACCTGGATTAGTTTAGGAGGCCATTTGATAAAGCAGGTGAAGCAGACAGAACGGACCCATGAGAAGCACTCGTGTTCACATGAAGGCCAGATGAGTGGCCCCAGCGTCCTCCAGATTGTTGTGTAATAATCCTTCTCCTGCATGGTCCCTTCATGCCTTCCTTTGCTACTGGACCAGCACAGAAAGAGCACTGGGCAACTGGCTCCCACAAAACTCTGAGGAAGCGTGAATTGGGTTTGTGGCTTCCACGCCCCTTTCTTTATCCAGTCCCTTAAAATGGTCAGGCACTGGAGATGGGTGGGAAAATAATAGGCAGGTTCGCTCAGGTTTACTGCTGAATTCACAGGTTGGGTTGGATGGGGAAGGGGGTCAAATGGGAAGCTGCCCAACAGAAGTGCTGTATCTTAAGGATGGTTGGTCCTTGGATGCAGCAAGAGGAGGAGAAGAGCCAGATGTTGACCTGAAGGACATCCCAGTGATAGGAGCCGTGGCAGAAAAAGCAGGTTGGCTGCTAGCCCTGGAAGCCCTATGGTGACTCCAGCATCAGAGGCTGCTGGGGAACATGGGTGTGTGTCAGGCACACGACTGCTGTTGTGTCCTACTCAAGGCAGTTGATGGTCCGTCACAGGGACAGAGTATGGGACCAAACAGATCCCTGGTTTGATCTAGCAGAGCTTCTCTTACGTTTCCGCATTCTTATCGTAGAATAGTAGAGTTATCCATGCACCTGCAAAACTCTGCCCTTGTTACATTGTGAAGAGGTGTGAAAGTGTCATCCTGCAGCAAATTGAAGAATGGGCTTTGGCTGTCTAATATGATACCTGACCCATGCCCGGAGCATCGCGTAGCTCACTGCCAGCCTTGCCTCACTTCAGGCATGTGCCCTTAAAGCATTTGCATCTTGCTTTGAGTCCTGCGAGCAAAAGACATTAATGAACTGCCTTGAGCTAATCACTTGATCTGGGTGAACCTTTGCAGAGAGGGGAGTAAAATGTGTGGTCATTTGAGTTTAGGCCTGTCTTCTCTGAACAGGGGCTTTTACTTTCATGCACAGTGAAATTATTAAGGTGAGCTGCAAACGTTTGCGTAGAAAATCAGTAACCAAGACCACCAATAACTGTAAGATAGATTTTTGCTTTCCTCTGCAAGGGATGCTTGAGACATTGGTCCAATTCACTTCTGGCCAGAATTTACCTACCTCACCCCTCTCAGAATGCCCTCAAATGTAATCTGCAGACAAAATCCACGCATTTTCCATTCACAGAACTAAGGACTGCGCTCACAGAACACACAGGTTTGAAAAAATGCATACATTTACGAGTGAACAGAAACATGCTTTGATCAATTGGAGAAAACACGTATATTCAAAACATGCAGAACGGTTGCATGAATTTGGGGGGAAGTGCATAAAAGGTACATAAATGTTTGCGTGAAAAGAAAAAAAAGTGTGCATGATACATATAGAGGTCAGAAAATGCTTTGAGTGGAATTTGCAGCACATTGAAAAATTCCTGTTTTGCTGATTGTAATAGAAAAGATATTGTCTCTCCCTTTCTAAAGGGGAGCCATGTAATATTTAGTCAAGAAAAACATGGAGGACCTGGTACAGTAGACAGAATTGCAGGCTTGGATGGGTTTATTTATTCATTTTTAAGTATTTATACACTGCTTGCCTCTACAGATTGCAAAGTGTCATATTTATCCATCATCTATCAAAAATAACCAAAACATAGACTATCTACACCCACTTTTCCATAGCAATAAAAGTCCGTGTATTCTGAATGATGCTCAGAAGTGTTGCATTAATGCCAGTGCCCCAGCATGCACCTGAAAAAAGAAATCAACCCAGGCAGATAGCCTCAAGAACCAA